CCACCTGCCAATCCCGCACGCGCGCCCTGCGAGCAGGGCGTGAACTGAAACCTCCAGTGCCTCCCACGTGTTCAGAGAGACGTTGTTTTCCTCTCTAATGTGAACTTTCTAAATAAGTTTCTTGACCCTGAAAGACGAACCCTACCTACCTCTTAGCTAATCAGTGTAAGGAATGAAGCCACAGAGAGTAAAGAGATCAGCATGTGAGATTTATCAACACCAGACATGACACTACTCCCACCAACATCTAGGCCGCCGCCTCCTTGCAGGGGTGCCTTAAAACGTATCCCTTTAGCTCTCCGGCGCTGTCTATGCGGCCAAGGAACGCGATCCTAATGCGGAGGAAACCAGTACTCCCTCCATCCCTTGACCCAGGAGGGCGAATTGCCTAGAGTGACAGCGATATCGCCTCCGGAGAGTCCTTTCCACCAACGCCCCCCACCCCTGAGTCCCCACGCTGCCCGCGGGGAGCCAGCTCACAGCCCTGCCACGTTGCCTGGGGAATTCAAGATCCAGTGCCTTCAATTCCGCGCGTTTCACGCTCCCTGAATGAAGGCGAGAGAGGCTTCTCTGGGCCACCTGACACCTCCCAACACCAAGCAAGGTGCAGGCTTGAGAAGCTGAACCCTAGTGTTATAAAAGTACAAGTGCTGCAATAACGAATCTCGGTGCAAACTGACAAGGCCGTATTTCAGCGGGGGGAACTGCCCCATCTGAGCTCAAACCTTCTATTCGCACACACTCCTCCCTCCAGCCTTCTGTCAGCTCTATGTCCTGCTGCTTGAGTATCTCACCAAAATCCAAACCAGAGTGGTTCCTCTTTTGAAACGACTGTTGTTCTTAAAGAACATTCGAGTCGGTTCTGACTCATAGCGACCCTTTATAGGGTTTCCGGGGATTGGCTGGTGGGTTTGAACTGCCGACCTTGAGGTTCAAACAGACATTATGGTCCATTGCTAATCCTACAGCGCCGTGCACACCACACGCACAATTGTACTCAACGGCCAAGGTCAGAATGAAGGATATAGTTACAATCAATACACAAAATCTTAAATACTCCAGTATGTTAGATCCAGA